TGTATTCTTTCATGAAGGTGGAAGTTAAGGCAAGGTACTACTCATTACTGCTTGTTCTCTCACTCCAGGTTACTGTGAAACAAATGGCAGGCATCAAATAAATCGAACCATAAATATTTCAGCCTGCACTTCTAGAAAGTTTCCTTAACTACAAATCAATCCTCAAATACTAGTAGCACACCTAAAGTGTTAATTACATCTTTTATATAATTAACAACCGGTGTTCATATTTTCCCATCGTTCTAATTGAATCAATATTAAAGTATGTGCAGTTATATAATCTCCTGTCAACTTGAACAAAGGGGTGGAGTCTAGCCTGTCAATCAGGTTGCAGCATGATGATCTCATTTGGAGACACAACAGAGATAAATCGCTCACCGGAGGCCAGACCCTCTATCTTTCCTTTCCCTTTCCTGATGTTGAGATACTCAGAGAGCTGAAGGAGATGCATGCAGCACTGAGATGCTTCCACTGCCACTGGATCCACGAGACCTTCGACCCACTGGCCTGTGATCTTCCTGCATTCAGCATCATTGCATGTGCTGTGTGAGTCTAAAGAGGAACTTATGGACTAGTATCAGACATATGGGCTAATATCAAACTGATGGGCTTGATCTGGACTGGGCTGAGATGTTTTCTCAATATACAATTGCTCTTTGAAATAAAGCTCTTTCTTTTTTTAATTGAAAAAGTTTATATTTAGCATTAGTCAGCTGGGCTCACTTTAGATGATTCCAATTTTGTTGGCAACCTCTAAAGCATCATAGTCAGGAGCCAGTCGAACATATGCCTTCTTATCACCGTCAGGCCTGATAAGGTGCTGACCTTGGCTACGTCAGTGTCATAGAGCTTTTTCACAGCCTGCTTGATCTGGTGTTTGTTGGCTTTGACATCCGCGGTGAACACAAGTGTGTTGTTCTCTTCGATCTTCTTCATGGCAGACTCTGTGGTCCAGGGGAACTTGATGATGGCATAATGGTCCAGCTTATTTCTCCTAGGGGCGCTCTTCGGAGGGTATCTGGGCTGCCTTCTCAGTCTCAGGGTCTTGGGCCGCCGGAAGGTGGGTGATGTGCAGATCTTTTTTTGTGTGGCTGTGGACGCCTTTCAGCACGGCCTTCTTGGCTTTTAAAACCTTTGCTTTGGCTTCCGTTTTGGGAGGGGCAGGAGCTTCTTCTTCGCCTTTGGCGCCATCTTTGTGAAAAGGATAAAGCTCTTTCTTATACATGAGTGGCTATGAATTTGTTTCTCAAGTCAACCTGGACTGACACAAAGCACATTCACTGTATTGGTTGATACATTCACTAAGTCACTCTTTTTACAACATAAACTTTATTAATCTTTATTTCTTTCCTCCAACTACTGTTGACCCCGAAACAAAAGAACTTTGGTCAAGAAAAAGACACGGGCTAAACTCGGACAAAGGAGCAGCCAGGAGTCTTACAAGCTGCTTTCTGGCTGAGAAGCACAGTCTCATTCCAATGCAGACTTAGGGCCATTCTTCAGAAACCTGATACATAATCATACTCCCCACAATTTACTTGTGTACATACATAAAACTGAAAATGCTCTGCTTTTCAGTGGCTTGCCTTGGTGACTTTAGTCCTGGCTTGCTCCTTGCTTGATCAGCCAAAACAAAATCCTCCTTCACTCTGACTTTGTCACTGCCTTTGTTTAATAAACAGTACCAAGCAAGACCTCGGTTGGTAACAGAATTATCAAAGCACTCGGTACTGTAGGTTAAGGTGGAGAAAAGAATCAGACTTAAATATATTTTATAGAGACCCATTGATTAGAGCTTAAGTAGGCCCAAAACAAGATGAGTTGCAGGTGGGACTACTGAAGCAGGTGGGACCATGGATCTATACACTGCTGTAGACTAGAAACGATTACAAAATTGCTTCAGGGGCCCAGACTACCTTGGCTGGGGTGTACCTCATGACCATTTAGCCCTAGTACCCCAACTTCCATCAAAGAACTCAATGGAGACTGAATCTGTGAGAGGACTCCAAATGGGTTTAGGACCCCCACTCTGAACCATAGCTTCCCACAAACGTAGCTTAGAACTAAAACTCTAATACATCACTTCCTCTGATCATGGATTTAAAAAAAAATTCTTTTATCACATTAGGTTGGTGTACTTTTTTTCTGAAGAGTAGTTGACAGCTCCTTTAAATAGTCACCTGTTTAGACAAGCCTTTAAGATCTCGACACTATTCTTAAAAAAAAGTTTTATTGGCATATAATTCATATATCATACAATAGTTCAATCACACCAAGAGTTGTATCATCATCATCACAATCAGTTTTAGAAGTTTTTCATCATTCCTGTACTCATTGTTAGTAGTTCCCCATTTCCCCACAAACTCCCTTGCCACATCCCCAAAGAACCACTAATCAGGGCCAGACTCAATCGATTTATCTATCCTGAGTTTTATATGTAGGAAAACATTTAAAAACAAAAGCTAACAACAATAACAAAGTAAAACCGAGAAAAACCCCAATCACAAAGAAAGCAGAAAATATTAAAAACTAGAACAGATTTATAATGGATCAAAAAGGAGAACAAATGATAAGGTGTTAAATTTTAACCTAACTGCATCTGTAATAACCCACTTCCCAATGCATTCTGCATGACAGCAAGGCTGTTCACATCCCTCATTTAAGGTCAGAGTGAATTCACCAAGGCTTAATACAAGTGTATTTCCAATTTACATTTTTTAAAACTAGAAACAATTTAAAAATAGGTCAAAATGCAGAGCAAATGATATGTTTGAACCTAACTGCACCTGCCATAATCAATGTTAGAATGCTCTCTGATAACAAGTTTATTCACATCCCTCAACTATGATCAGAGGGGATTCTCCCGAGGCTTAATCCATGTGTGGACCTACAAATTAATTTTGGGCTTCCACTATCATCCATAGTCTTCTGCAAACCAGGTATTTAAGCTTGATACTATTTCCTCCTTCAGTTTTGGACTTTATTATTTTTAATCCTTGGATCACATAGGCAGTGTGCTTTTTCCATGTGGACTTAGTTGACACCTCAATTAGATGGCTGCTTATTTGAAGATAAGCCTTTAAGATTCAAGATGCTATTCCTGATAGCCAGGCACCATCTAGTTTCTTCACTACACTTTGCACTCATCTCCAGTGATCCCTGTATGAGGGGGAGCATCAAGCAGGGCCATGTCATAAGAACTAATTTTCTACAGTGGGCTAGAATTAAGTGCAAGCCCCCACCCAATCCAATCCTATATCTCTGGTTCACCTTAGAGACATCATTGCTGGATGCTATTCTTTCTGAAAGCTGGGCACCATCTGATTTCTTTACCTTGCTTTGCTATAGCACCCAAATAGTCAATGATCACCTCATGAGGCTAAGTACACAGTATGCTGATTTCCAAGTGTTCACTTGACTTCCCTGCTCAACAGTTCAGTTTTTTTTAACTTACTGTGGCATCTCAGCTAGTGCATATGAATAAACAGAAGCAGCAGTGCAGTGCTTGGATACTGATGGGATTAGCAACATGCTGAGCGAAGGCATTGAAGTGGCCAGGAAAGAGAGGGAGAAGTTTGCCATTAGTAGGTACATCAAATTGTTGACAGGAAGTTCTTTGACCAAGTCGATACTTAGCACGACTTTTGGCCAATTAGGACAAAAATTATCCTACCTGAAGGGGTAAATTTTACATTAGTCTGTTCAGACTAATGTGACTCAATAGATTTTGCTATTTAAGGTGTGGTTGGAAAACCAGCAGCAGCCAGCCACTGGCATTACCGGGGCTTTGTTACAAACCCAGAATCTCAGATCTCACCCCAGCCCTACTGAAGCAGAAACTTTGTCTTAACAAGATCTCCAGTAACTTTTGCGGGCTGAAATAGGACTTTACTTGACCTATAAACCTATATAGGTGGGCAAGCCATTCTGAGTCATAGCGACTGCATGCAGCAGCGCAAACCGCCTCCCAAGGTCGTCTAGGCTGAACTCTATGTGAGCAGATTGCCTGGATCTCCCTCCTGCTCAGTGGCTGGGTGGGTGGATTCCAACCGCAGACCTCTGGGTTTGAACTTCACTCTTAGCTCCCTGCCTGGTTGGTGGCGGGTAGTCAGTCTACAACGAGAAGGAAAGCCCCGCATAGAATGACTATCTTTTTTGGTTTATTATCATTTTATTGGGAGCTCTTACAGATAACATTCCATAGCTCAATCACATCAAGCAGTCTTTGACAGAACGGGCTATTTGTCACCAGCATGACAGCACCGTTTTCCCTTTGGGCTATCGTTTCTTCATTCAGCCAGCAAGTATCTCGAAAGTAAACAACGTTGACGGAGCTTGGCCAACGTCTCAGGACCACTTTGAGAATGGGGAAACGGAGAGGGGAGCGGAGAGAAGCAACTCGCCCCAGAGACTCCATCGACGAGTAGCGGAGGGACACGGATTGGAACCGACCCCGCTGAAGGCGGAGCCCACACGGGGCGGCTGTCCCCGTCTCCGCTCTCCGGAGAGCTGCACCGGGTCAGGTCCGTCCAGCCCCGGTCGGCGGGCGAGTTCTTCCTGTCAGGGCCTCCGCGTCCCCGGCAACTGCCAGGGTGCGCGGGCAACCGGATCCAACCTCCGCACTTCACAGGCTCCAGGAGGCAGCGTGCGGCCAGAGAAGGAAGCGGGCCGGGAAAGCCCCGTCTTACCGTCCCGTCCTTTCCCGCACGTCGGTCCTCCCAGCTGGGGCGCTGGAGACGGAAGCCTAGAACGGACTTCCCGCAGCCAAGATGGCTGCCTGAAACGTCACGCCCACAGCCGTCCCTGTCCCCGCCCTCCGGTCTCCATGGCAACCCGGCCGGCTGCGTCGGGGCCGGCGTAGGCCGGGGTGTTGGGAATTCGTGAGGAAATCCCGCCCCCTCGCCCCCTCCTTTTTTTGCGACAGTTGCAGCGAAAGTCACGACAGTTGAGGCTGGTGTCAGCTGACTTACGCAGCAGCGGTGGTGGCTGCAATAGCAACGGCACCTTGCGGCGTCGGCCGAGGGGAGACGGCGGCTGGGCCGGGGTGGCGGTCCCCAAGGCTTCCCACCGGAGTTGCCCATCCCATATCCTCCGTGGATCCGCCCTTGCCTTGTCCTCGATTGCTGGGCGCTCACGGGCGGACCGATCGACAGCATCGCGGCAGGAGATGAGGCTGTGACAGGTACGGGCGGCGTTCGAGCTCTCCCCGGGGAACTCCTGTGCGGGCTGTGCCGGTACCACGGAGGTCAGGGGTCAGGGGCCGCGGGTGAAGGGTCTTCAGCTCCGTTCAGTTCCCACAGCGCTGCTGCTCGCCTTCTCTGCCCCACCTTCGCGTGGGGGTCCAGGCCCCAGCGAGGCGCCTGTGCCAGGAACGTCCGGGGGTCCTGCGGGGGCTTCAGGGGATCCTTTGCCTGGTGAGTGGCATTTGCTTCTGGTGACAGTGGCTTTGCTCTTGAGATGAGACTTCCTTGTCTTCAAGGACAGTCTAGAGGAGGGAGAGGTGGGAAGTGGAGATGGGTGGGTGGTTACTGACGGTGCTCTGGGGTTGGGTTGTCCTGGTTGTCGGAGTGCACTTGGTCTCCCTACCTGTTGGTGTTGCTTAGTTTGTCCTGGCCTAAAGGGGGAGGGTTGCAGTGCTTGCCCGCGCAGAGATGTCTGTTCGAGTTTCACCTTTAAGATGTCACCTGCTAGTTCTCATCCTTTTGCTCCAGGAGTCTTATTGGCTGCTCCCATCGCCTAATGCTTGTTCCCAAACTGTTAGGAGCCAGCACGACTCAGCCTTGGTTTAGGGAATTCTCCTTTCTCTTTTGGGCTCACTCGCTATGTCAGTTTCTCAGGTAGAATTTGCAACTAACAACAGCATAGCCTGACGAGGTGGCAGCTGCATCAAAGGCTGTGCATGGTAAGGTTGCTACAGCAGATTTTAGCATCTCATCAGTGAGGCAAAAAGAGAGAGATAGAGAGAGAGACACAAGCTCCAAGTCTTGGGACTTTATGGACAAGATTGGGAAAGTCCAGGATTGCAAGAGTTGCCTGTCGTCTAAGGAATTCCCGAGTTTTTGACATATTATGACATAGGAGGACCTAGTTTAGACCGGCTTCTTTCTTTATAAGCAAACTTGTGACCATATGGAGGAGGAGAGAGGTTTGCAAGTGTAAATCATGTGTTGAAAATGGTGTTTTATTTTGAAGTGTCAACACCTGCTTGATGTCTTCCAATGTAACGGCTAGCTCCAATTGGGAAAATGGATCAATAAAATAGTGAGTGCTTCATTGTTAACTTCGATCCGAGATTGTGGTAGAGATGGTCATTTGTTTATATGTGTGTGTTTGTTTTCTCCATACTTCAGAGTCTTATTAATAGCAAAACTAGGACATATTCTGTATTTCCTCCTATTGCCACCTGCAGCTAAATCTAAAATAAAAGGCTTGATGATTGATGGATCAAAGAGCTTGGGCCTTGCCTTGCATCTTAAGCTCTGGGGCTAGTGAGTGTCTAATGTTTTAATTCCTGTTAATTCTGCTTTGAATATGAATTCTATTTGGAAATGAAAGAAAGTGTGGTGACCTATCTAGGTAACAGGCTTAGCACTGAAAACCTTAAAAGTTATGAGCAGGTTTTATGCCTTTGAAATTAGAAGGATAGAATGACATTCAGCTTCAGTGGTGCATGCTGTGTTTGATGTGGGTCCTTAACCCACAGCTCTGATTGTTTGCTTCAGGGATTCTGTTAATCTTATTTAACTCAGTGATCATTATCTGGACTGTCCGAGGCCCCTCACACTTACCGTACCTCCTGCCCCATTTATCACCTTTTATTTTCTATTCTCACTCAATTATCTTACCTGCCTGCCTATATGCAACCTTTCTGGTAGGTCTGATGAGTACCCTTGTGTTTATGTGTTATTAAATGTATATCGTGAGTGCCCACACTTTTAATTTATCTAGGTGGTATCATGCTATATATCTCTCAGAAAAACACTTTCCTCTTTCCATACTATATGTGAAAGACCTCTCTATTTCTAACTGAATCATATTTCAAAGTGCATTATTGTCTCCTCTCTTCTTCATGAATACCTATCTCACCTTGGCTGTTCTACCACCACAGACAGGACTGGGATATCCAGGGGAATGGATATCCAGGGGCATGAATAGAGGATATTCATCTATTGTATGGAAGCCGTGCCAGATTGTGCTACAAAACAAAAGTGCAACAGTCTGACCCTCTGCGGGGAGGGTCTGGAGGTTGTGTGTTTTGCAGTACCCTCACCAGGGCTTGGCATCAACCAGCACCCCAATTCCCCCAGACTGATAGATACAGAAGGAAGTCTCATTTTTAAATTACATTTCCCTGGGCTTTCTAATGACGTTTTTTTCTTCTTGTGCATCTTGTCTTTTTCCTTTTGTAAAACTTCCCTAAAATTGTCCATCCCTCTAGCCATTTTTATTTTGGGGTCTCAGTCCTTTTCTTGAGGATTTGCAGGAATTCCTTGCATTTCCTAGGTATTAGTCCTTTAACCATTACTGGTACATCTTTGGTACTCAGTTGTCTGTAACATTTATGATATCCTTCATAGAAAGCATTACTTTTGGTATAATCCAATTCATAGTGTATGAATGTGTATAAATATATACAAATAATTATACATGTCATTACATATATAGGTATATTTTTTCTTATCTCTTAGAATCTGTGTTTTGGGATTTTTGTCTAGGAAGGTTTTTTTCCAATCTTATGATACAGTTACTCTCCTATATTAGGTACTGCTAACTTTTCCTTTAAACGTACACATCCTGGGCCTGTTTTTCTGTGTGCCAAAAAGTGGAGATCTCTTTTTAAAACTTTCCATATGGTGTGCTGTTGCCTTCTTTCCTGTGGCTGATTGGTGCCACATTTATTGTACACTAAATTCTCACATATGCTTCAAGCAACTAACTTCCATTTTGTTCTTCTGGCTTATTTGGCCATTGTTTCTCTGATCCCATACTTCTTATGACTGACTTTTCGAGTATGTTCGAGGAGGCCTTTCAGTTTCCTCATTTATCTTGCTTTAACTTGATTTTGAAATCATTAAAGATTCACAAGAATTTGCAAAAATAGTATACTGCATCCCATTTCTCCTCATGGTTACATTTATACAACTTCTCTCCGTTTCCTTCAATGGTTATATTTTATATATCATATATACTTGTGTATAAGCCGAGTTTTTTAGCACATTTTAATGCACTTTTTTGTGGTAAAATTAGGTGCCTCAGCTGATATTTGGGCAGACTTATACTTGAGTGTATACGGTAATTATAGTACAATATCAGCACCTGAAAACTGGCTTGGATTTACAAACTCTACACTTCGATGCCATTTTTCACATGTGGTGGGTTTTGTAAGCATCGCTGAAATCACAATTCAGAGTTATTGCATTCCCACAAAGACCGGCATGCTCTGCCCACATCTCCCACCCCACCCCATCCCTACCTCTTGGCAACCATTAATTGGTTTTCCATTTGTATAATCCTATCATTTCAAGAATATTACATATAGAATCCTACAGTGTGCAACCTTTTGATATTGAGATTCATCCCTATTGTTGGATGAGACGATTCTTGAGATTCAGCCAAATTGTTAGGAGCATCAATAGCTCGTTCTTTTTTATGCCCGTGTAGTATTCTGTGGTATGTGTTTACCCCAGACTGTTTTAGCCATTTAGCAGTTGAAGGAAATCTGGCCAGTGTCCATTTTCAGTTGATAATGAATAAAGCTGCGATCAGCATTCTTGTACAATTTATGTACATGGGTGTCTACATTTTCATACATTTTTTTCTGGGCTATATGCCCAGGAATGTGATTGCTGGTTGGCATGACACATGTATGTTTGGTTTTTAAAGGAATTGCCACATAGTCTTCCAGAGTGGCTGTGTACCACTTGATGTTCCCACCATCAGTGTCTAACCATCTATTTTTCTCTTCTTGCCGAAATTTGTATTGTTGCTATTTGAGGTGTTCTAGTACATGTTTAAGGAGCCCTGGTGGCTCAATAGTAAAGGGCTCCACTGTGAACCAAAAAGTTGGCAGTTCAAACCCAGCCAACAGCTCTCTGGGAGAAAGATTTGTTGATCGGTTTCCATGAATATTATAGCCATGCAAGCAGTTCACATAGGAGGGTCACCAAAGTTAAAAATCAGTGAAACCAACCATCACAACAATGTGTGCATACTCAAACCAAAAACTCAGGCACTGAGTCAATTATAACTCATAGGACAGAGCAAAACTGCCCCTGTGAGTTTCCCGAGACTTTAAATATTCTCTTCTTTCTCCCATGGAGCAGTTGATGGGTTCAAACTACTGACCTTGTGGTTAGCAATTAACACATAATCTGGTATGTCACCAGAGCGCCTGTCTGCATACCAGTAATTTGTAACTGTTGCAGGTGTGTGTGTGCTGATTTTCAATGCATAGTGAGCATACAGGACAGAGCAGAACTGCCGCAGAGGGCTCATAGGCAGAAATCTTTATGGGCTCAGATCTCCAGATCTTTTCCCCACTGAGCAGCTAGTGGCTTCGAACGGCTGACCTTTCAGTTAACAGAGAAGTACTTAGCCATCAGTGACACCGGGGCTCCTTCTCTGACGACTACTGTTGTTAACTGTCTAGGAGGACACATGCTTTCTTCTGCTTTGCCCCTTTTCTAAGTTGGCTTCATGATTTCTAGGTTTTGTTCCTTTCTATGTATTCTAGGGTTTGGTTGAATTTCTAAAACTAACCAAACATGGATTTTGATTGACAAAGCATTGTATTTGCACATTTATTTTGGAGACAACTAGCATCTGTATAGTATTAGGTCTTCTTATTGCAGAGCACAGATCGGTCTATTTTTGAGTAGAATGAACTTTTTGTGGTTTCTCAAAAACAGGTGGATGGAATATTATTTTTAAATGGGATTATTGCTGATAGGAAATGCTAATGATTTTCATATATTGATAATCTATTGGACAGAGGTTGAAATTCACAGTATGAATATTGAAATAATTTCTAGTGCTTTTAAACGTGGGCCTGAAAGCTGGCAGTGCCCTTATGGCTGGGATTATCTGGTGCATTTCTCTGTGGTGGTGATCCTTGCTTGTTGGGACAGATGAACCTGAGGATTAGAGTATGGGTTAATGAGGTTTGGGGATTCTGTTCCCATT